ATATACCTCCAAATGATATTATAAAAGCTATGGGTCTGCATTCCTTTGAAAATATAGCACTTCTTTTAGGGAACAGAAATTTCAGGTTTCCTCAAAACACATGAATTATACTAATCAGAGTTTAATTCACCAGGAAATTAAACTTGTACCCATTGACCATGAGGTTTTAAGCAATGGATTATAGTTCTCAGAGAGACTGGGTCAGTTCTGAGTCCCTAGGGCTGTGAGAGCAGAAGGACCATCTTGGGTGACAGCCAGCAAGTCCAATCTCAACCTGTCCTATCCTTCCTGGAGTCACCCTGGACCTCTCTAATTCTCCTCCTAAAAACTGCACTTTTCCTTCTGGTTGGTCTCCCCGATGCTGAAACTGTGGGTCATCTACCTAACAATCATTCCCTTGCACCTTACACTGCAGCAATTTCTGTAGGAGGCCCAGTCCCCCACCTGTCACTCTCCATGGCCTGGGTCATCCGGGCCCTGATGCTGGATGCTGGCAGAGGCTGTGGACTGTGGTTTCTGAGTAGGCAAGAGGTACCATTCATTGAGACCAGGCATAGCCACGTGATGTGCTCTGTGTGACTAAGAGTCAGTAAGTTTCATAATAATTCCAAAGGGTTATCTTAGCCACCATTACCACCAGGCCCTATTGTCATTAACAACTAGGTGTGGCATTCGAGTAGCTGTACAAGGAGCTCTCAAATCTTGCGCAGTACATCCAGAGCCCAGTGTTTGCTGGCTTCCGAAGCTCCTTGCTCTCTGGAACTCATTTGCCCTTTGGCTCCCAGGTCTGCTGAATGTACCCCTGCTCACCCCTGGGTGCTCAGCACAGACCCCTGACCCCAGTCCTGCTGCTGTCCTCGCTGGAGGAAGTACTCGGTCAACTGTGAATGCAGGAGTGACAAAGGAATATTAAACTTTTAAGACAAACTTTGATGGCTAATGGAGAAAATAGGAAATTGCAGAATCTTTAGATTAGATTTTTTTTTTTTTTCAAATCCATCATCCAACTACCTTGTGCTGTACACAGATTTGAGAACCAGGAAAGTTCAGAGGCCGCCTGAGGGTCCATAGCATGTTGGTAGCAGAGCAGGGCTAGGGCTCAGCTGGTATTCAGCCCTTCTCTGTTCCCCACCCTAGGACACACACACACACACACACACACACACACAGGAGAAAACCTGAGGCAGCCCCCCAAGGACATGGGATATGGCCAGGCACAGTGGACCCAGGAAAATGTATTCAATTCTTATTTTTGTCTCTCAGTTGAATCTTAATCTCACCTGGACAAGTTCATCTTTGTGAAGTAGGAAGGAGTGATTCATACCTGCATTAGGGCTCACTGCTTTGTCTCCCACAAACTGGCTGAGCCATTTCTCTCCCAGGAAAGAATTTGAAGGTGAAGGTGTCTGGGCTCTGTGTTCCTTTGGAAACACTTTGGAAATAAAATTCTGAAGCATTCCCAAAATGTATGTGTATGTCATATAGATATATAGATATAGATAGAGATAGAGATATTCTCCATGAATTAATCACTCCAACTGGCAGAGTCACTGGGCTCTCTGAAGCCCCAGAGTAATTTAGGAATGGATTTGAAAACTTCCCCTGGAACTGAGCAGGCCAAATGCAAAATATTACGAACTTTTTCACCAGAATCAACTAGACGAGCTTAGGAGGCCACTGTGGTGGCACAGGAACCTCCCCCAAGGTTGGGCAGAATAGTAAACCAGTGCGACCTCTCAGGGCCACGTTACTGTGCCCACTTAACAGGTACTCACTTTTGAAGCTCCTGTGCCATGCACACCTAACTCGCATGCAGGCAGGAGACTACTGGTCTGTTTTCTCAGTCACTTTCCAGGTACACTGAGATGGAGATGCGGCTTCCTGACCTGAGCCGGCAGACACACAGACCTGCTAGTTCCATTTAGCCTGTATTTGTGCCCAGTCAGTGGCCTGTGACAGGCAACCCGCTGAAGGAAGTTGGGTTCAGACCAGTTTCTCAGCCACCACCGCACTCAGAGTTGAATCCTCGTGTGATGTCCCAGGGGCGCATTATACCTGCCTGAGCGTGACGGCGAGACAGTGACCCGGGAAAGGAACTGTCGAGGCGGATGCTTCCAGGTCTGATCCTGAGATTGGAAGGGTCACCTCTCCTCCGGTTAGAGAGAGCTTCAGTGGGGCTGTCCGGAAGTGATGAGGGGCAGCGTCGATACCCCAAGCTTCCGGTGTGCAGCACATCCCACTTGGCCAACGCTAGGTACTGAGAGCTGAAACTGTGCTCCTTTGTCCGCCCACGAGGCCGACCAGCAACACGTGCACAAGCGTTCCTGGTCATTCCAATGACAAATCACTGTCATTTGTGAAGTCGTAATGACATGGAACAGTCGTTAAAATTGCACCTTCTGCATACATGCATGTCTGTGCGAACACAAGCGCTAACAAGCAACTGCAGAACGGTGTGTTACCCTGCAGCTGATACTTTGGGAGAGCTTAGGGCGCTGACCTCGATATCAGGTGACCCCCACCATTGCGGCCTGGAGCCATACATCCCAGGCCCTCACCGAGAGCCACGCGTCCCGGCACACCTGTGTCAACACCGTGCCGAATGACTCACCGCCCTGGGTACAGTACGAATTACCTTTCACGTTGAGTTTGTCAAAGCGGCATAGGTCACATCTGGCACAGTTACTGAGTCACTAGTGTAGGAATCTGAAACCCAAACTCCCTCCACTGAATTCTCTCCCGCGCCTTTGTAAATGTTTCTCCAATAAAGGGCTGTCAGCCTCAAGATTTAAAGATTTAAGTTTGAAGGGACTATAATTATTTCTCTAGGGCTCTGAGATTCTGCAACTTATTCATTGCTCCCTCATGACTTTATATTTGTCATTTTTTCCCCCTCCTGCAACAGCAGAAGTCTTTAAATTGCTCCACACAAATGGAAAACTCGGGTGAACATGAAAATAAATCTGAATTTGACTTGCCGTACCCATCACTAACATGAAAAGGCTGAGTAATGCCTGATTAGGACAGTGATTACAATGGCGAACTTTCATTAGAAAAATATTCTATCTTTGCCTGGCTTATTTCTCAATCTTCGAAGTGATTTCAGAGGAATTTTCGTTCTCTCCTTTATTTTTTTACTCATAGGTCCTGAATGTTCCCAGAACTACACAGCATCTACTGGAGTGATAAAGTCCCCCGGATTCCCTGAAAAATATCCCAACAGCCTTGAATGTACTTATATTATCTTTGCACCAAAGATGTCCGAGATTATCCTGGAATTTGAAAGCTTTGACCTGGAGCTTGACTCAAATAATCCTCTGGGGATGGCTTGTCGCTACGACCGGCTAGAATTCTGGGACGGATTCCCTGGGGGTAAGAACTAAGAACAGCAGAAGCACCTACAGGAAGGAGGGGCCTGGAGGAAGGGGAAGAGGATCTGTTCACAAGTGTCATGATGCATGCATAATTTCTTTCTAAAAAATAGCTGGAAAGGGAGAGGAAAATCAAATCAAAATGGCAACTCCATGTAGAAACAGAATGAAATATTTGAGGTCAGCAAGACCTTTGTAATAATCTAATGCAATTGCTTCATTTTATAGATAAGGAAGCTGGCCATGAAAAGTTATACAAGGTTTATGGCTATTCTGAGATATATTTTGGAACAAGACGTACTTTTTGAAACCAAATATTTTTTTTTCATTCACTGACTTTCCTCCCAGTCATTAACTCATAGACTGTCAGATATTAGGACCCTAAGAAATCATTTAAGCCAAATTACTCATTTCACAAATGTTCAGGTTAAGGACAAGAGAAGTTAAGTACCCTTTAATTATTTTTAGAAATTTAGGAAAAGAACATTATTACTTGGGCATTTTAAATTTAGGCAGATTCTCTGTTCGCTCTTTGTGGAATTTTAGTCTTTGGCAATTGGATTCACCTCAGTACCGAATATCAGTTATATTTATTGTTCTTATTTAAATTAATTAAAACAACTAAAATATTTATTAAACACTTGTCATGTACCAGTCACTTTTCTAGCCACAGGGTGAGAAAAACATTCCAAGATGGTGGTCCTTGTGGAATTTATGTGGGGTAGAGGCATCAGACCATAAACAGTGTTCATGACAGATAAATTAATTATATGCATGGGGTGCTAGAAGGTGACAGGTGCTATAAACAAATCAAAAAGGAAGAAAAAGAGGAGGTAGAGGGAGGGAGAGCAGAAAGAGAGAGGGAAGGAGAGAGAGAGGAAGAAAGAGTATAACAGGGGAAGAGATGAATATTTGGGAGGTGGAGGTAGGGGTTGAAAAGTTTTATAGAGTGATCAGGCTGGACAGATAGAGACATTGACATTTGACCAGAGATTTGGCGGAAGTGAGGAAATAGCCATATGGACATCAAAATGAAAGTTTTCCATCCAACCCTGGTGAATTAGAAGGTGAATGGCAAAAATGCTCACCCAGATTCTGGAGAGATAATAGAAGGAGATAATCTCAAATAATTTGTTGCAGCAGCATTTCTTGTCTTGTATTTAGTCTGGCTTCATGTTAAGATTTCTCTGGAGAATGTGTACTACACAGATCAGAAATGACAATTCAGAAGCTTTTGGGGGTCACTCAGAGATGTGTAATCATCTCCTAAGCAGAACCACATATTATTCTCAAGTTTGAGAAAAGAATAGTTGATAAACAGTACATAAAGAAGAGGATCTGAAGAAGACTGTTGACGTCTTTGAAACGTCCTTAAAACCAGTCATTTTACCAGTAAAAAACATTAGCAGAAAACGGTTACAGGATAACCTTGTGTTGTCATTGGAGTTAATGGGTGAATTAACATTAGTTTAATATCTTCTTTGCTCTTTTACCACAAAAATAGGGCTATGATGATCTTATCAAAACTCATTAAGTAATGAGATTTTCCCAAACACAGTGTTGATTGATTTCCAAATATTCAATCCAATAATTAAGAAAACAATATTATTATAATGTTGTAACAGCTGTTGGATCATTTAATAATGGGTTTATTTGTTTGCAATCCACATGTTAAGCTTTCCCTTCTAGAACTTTCATTTAAATCAATGTCTGAAGAGGAGGTCCAATCAGCAAACTTATTTAGAATACTTTTGGATAGAGGCACATTGTTATTAGTGTCAAGGGTTTTCCAACGTAGTAATTTTCTGGCTCTAGAAAATCACTGAGTTGAAGCAAAGAACAATTAACAATGAGAGTTTTCAGCCTTGCGATGTATCCATGATTGAACTGTGCTATGTTTGACTTGTTCCCGGAGAAAACAGGGTTTGACTCTAAAGGAGTGTTTGTATATTTGTTAATATGTACCTGGCTCACCCAGCCTACACCAGCTCTCTCTTTTTCTAGGCAAAATGAGTGTCTGAGTCCTCCCAAGTTTTCTGTCAGTGGCACTAGAAACATTTTTGTCATAATAATTCAACACATCCAGTTTCTCTGCCAACAAAATTGCTTTTAGTCTTTGATAACTTTCCCAAAAACAACAAGCAGAAGGCACGGAAGGCTTTTAACCAGCAAGTGATTTTATGTTGCATTTTATCATAAACATTGAATTAAATGACTAAGTAATTGAAAGCCATCCATTGATTCATATTAACTTTGAAGAAAAGCAGTTTGCTCCAATACTCAAAATTCAAGGCATGCATGTTGCGAATCACACATCTGTACCTGTCACTCTCTCTCTGAAGTCTGGTGGGTTTGCAGGCAGCGAGCCCTGGGGAAGTGGGAGTTTGCACTTTGTTTGGGATGAGAGTGCACCTGGCTCCAGACCCGGTAGGCGTTTGTGCTGAAGGAGCCGGATGTAAATGCTTGGCTTCTGTCCTTGGTCACAAATGCACCCAGGCCTCTGCCCAGGACTGCAGGGAGAGGAGATTGGATCTTCACTTCTTACCTACATCCCCAGCATTATCAATCACCTCAGGATGGAGTCTTACACAATCTGAAATGGGTGGTGCTTCTAAAATGTATTTTTACATTGGAATTAACCTTCTAAAACCCTAAAGACAGACACAAATGTGCCATTTTGGGTGGGGGGGTAAGTTGCAAAGTTTATTTTATTACTGTAAATTCTTTTCACCAAAAGGTTTATTGATTTAAGAAAAGTGTCAATGACCTATCTTGTACCTTTCAAATGATTGATTGCCTTTTTGATCTACTCAACATACCTCACTTTATAAGTCAATCTTTCGAGAGAATTGTTGCTTTTGTTTACATAATAGAAAACCAAATTTTCTTGATTCTGAGGCACAATTGTAGTTATTGGAGAGATTAATGGGAAAATACACAAGACTACATTGTTGCCATTTCCTGTTGCAAGTATATCTTTTTAAACAGCAGAAATGCTTCGTTGCTTTACACCTGAGCAGATCCAATCATTACAATCCTATTCTACCCCAAAAGATAGCCTGGCATATCTTGCTTGCTTAGATTCCTCAGTAATTCCGTTTTTGAATTGCATTTCTGGTTTTGTGACAGTTTTCATTCATCTCTTTGGCCTTTGGGTCTGCAATAACAGAAAGAGGAAACCCAATAGCTGTATTCATGTAAATACACAAATGAGCACACACAGGAGACAGACGAGAGCACTTCATCCACTCCAGTTCAGATCAATATTGCATTAGCTTGGGAGGCTGAGGTCTCACTGTCGTTCAGGAAAATTCAATACCTCTTTGTATTATGCGCAGAAACCTTTCACTCTCATATCGTAAGGGCTCCTAAAGAGAGTTGCATGCCGCTGACCGGGGGCATGTTCTAAAGGACAGAAGGCAGATTTACCCAGCATGTCTTAAACATTATAAACCAGTGAGTCATGGAGACTTCTAAATTATGAGTCTGCATCAGACAAGTTCTCTTCTGTTTCCTCTTTCAAAGAGACTCCCCCAGCCACCCTCCCCGGGGGAACTGGGTGGCAGCGGAGGGGGAGGACGAGCCCCCAGCGACCGCAGCTTCCCCGGGCAGTGTATTATCGGGAAGGTCAGTGGCTGCAGTGATCGGAGAGCAGCCCCAGGCTCGGGGCTGTAAAAGTTTGCCCACAGACTAAAGGAGGGATTCTGAAACCACACAGATGGAATTTAAATGAGGGGGCACATGCAGGAGTGTGAATGGACTCTAAGCTTTCCCGTTTATAATTACAGACCAGACGTGGATTTTTTTTTTTTTCCCCCCTGAGGAAAGGAGGGACCTGAGTTTTTGGTACTAGCAAGATATTTTCATGCATATGTTATGGGTAATGTGGAGTTCTGTGGGAAAGAAAATAATGCTGAATTAGTGGTGAGGCCACATCCAGAATGAAGAGAAGCTGGGAAAGAACTAGCTCTTGTAGAAGAATTCGAGGCCAAGATTAAACTGAGAAAAGCAAGAAGCAGTAAAAGAGTGGTGTCTTCTGCGTGCTCTCTCTGCCCACTGGGAAGTCTAATTAGCGACAATCTCTTGCCCTAATACAAAGAGTGTGTTGGTGACTGTGTGATTCTCCGAGATCTTCCACATCTGTCTCCTTCACTGTGAGGGCTTCCTAGCTTTCCTCGATGAAACACAGCGCAAGTACCGACCTGGGTTTCCAGAGACTGAGAAAGTCTCTGGATTCTCTCAGACAGACCGCTCTGAATCCACAGACTTTATCGGGTATCTGAAGTAATCTATTTTGCTGAAGATCTCCACGCTCTAAAGAGTATGGTGCTCAGAGTATCTGCCTAGTAAGAACTCGGCCTGTGTGTGGGCTTACTGTTTGGAGTCACGCTGGACACAGCTTCTAGTCCCCAGCAGCAGCCTTGTACATTCTAGTGCCATACGCAGGGCCTAGAGCACTCTGTGCTCCTTGAAGTCCCCCCCACCCCGCCCAAGGGAAAGGTCCATGCACTGTCTGCCTTCCATGAAGCAGTAACTCTTAGTTGAAATGGATGAAGCCATGGATTTCAGGTATAGGAAAACAGTCCACACCAGACTGCGCTTCTAAGTCCAAGCCATCTGGCATTTTTTACCATGTGTACAATGGGGAAAAAGAACTAAAAAGAAAGAGACCTTCCTTCCTCTCTGCCCCTCCTGCTCCCCCTCCCTCCCCCTCCTCCTTCCGTTCCCTCCTCCTTCCCCGACTCCTCCTCCTCCCCTCTGCTGATCTGGACAGGGTATATGGAAAGATTCTCCAAGTGCAGGGGTCTTCTGCCCTGTTCATAAGGCAACTTACAATGGCTCCTTGCCAACGTTTGTCCAAAACACTTCAACAAACATATGGCCAGTTTAAGTCAAATAACAATTTAACTCCAACACAAACTAGTCAGTGTTCTAGATCATTCACTGCCTTAGGTATACTTTTTTCCTGTTGTGCACAGCCAAGTATCTGCCTCGGGCCACTTCTTGGCCACGGGACATAATGCAGTGCATTGGAACAGAAAACTTGAAGGTGAAAGTCCAGAAAGTGCACTTGCCATTAGAGCCATTTTGGGTCGAATGTACTGCTGTGTGGAAGTCATTGGCATCCATAGTCTGTACAGTTTTACTTGTTACAGCCCTGGTATTCATTAGGCGTCAGACACAGTGCGGAGTAGGACCTGAGACCTTTTGTTTTCTCTAAAGCTGTGATGTTCTGCTTATTTAGAATTCAGGGCTGAAAGCTAGAACAAGGAAGGAAGTCAGGGATCCAGAGTCCTGGAGCAGACCGCTTCATGGCTGCACTTCCCAGGACAAGGCTCATCCCAGTCCCTTGCAGGGGTAGGAAAAGTGAGCAGAGGAAATTTCAGGAGAACTGGTCGACCCTGCCACTTGTGGGCCGCAGCCTTTCTGAGCGGGGCTGTGCAAGCTGTTTGGGAGCTAAGGTGCCTCTTGGCAGCCTCGGCCTCATTCTTAGCAACTGAAGCAAGCATTTTGATTCTGTTCTGAAAACAATCCTGCTCCCTGGGGATGCAGTTACCCCTGTTACTGCCCTTCTGAGTACACTTTACAGTCCTCTCCATGAGCCCCTCCAATATGTTCACTGCAAACCAATTAACTAGGGAAGTCTTGCTTTGGTTTAGAATAGACTTCTGGGTTCAGCTGGGACCCATGTTTGTAAATGGTTATTTTTGTATCTGCTCTAGGAGAAAAGACATTTTGACATTTCCTGTGTTTCTGCCTTTCCAGTTGGCCCTCACATCGGGCGTTTCTGTGGACAGAAAACACCAGGTCAGATCCGTTCTTCGTCGGGCATTCTCTCCATGGTTTTCTATACCGACAGTGCGATAGCCAAAGAAGGCTTCTCAGCCAACTACAGTATCTTACACAGCAGTGTCTCAGAAGGTCAGTGTGACTCATCTCACGAAGCCCTGTGGTAAATACTCCTTGTTACTCCCATTCGCACACCTGAGCCCACAAGCAATGCTAAAGCATTGTCCCATGAACTGCGGTATGGAGTGTTTTTCTCTTTAAAATTTTTTTTTAAATGAATAGCAATAGGGAAGACTATTTGATGTACTTTTTTCAGAAAATTGTGACTGAGACTCTGAAATCATTGGAGGAAATGGGATATAGCAACACAGTGCCTCAAAACAATGAAATAGGCCAGACCCCTCCCTGACACCCGCAAATGCATAATAGGCGGAGAATCATAAAAGGGAGTCGATGGTCAAAGCAGCCACACAGAACGGACAGTGTGCCGTGCTTTGGTTGTAAAGGACCCTGGGGAAAGCCATTATGTTTCCCTTTCTTACCTGAGTGAAAGTGGATATGCATGAAAAGAAGCATGTTTCAGTTTTTGTTAATACCTTTACATCAAAGACAGAGAGCAATGGATTTTTATATCCTATTAAAATACTCAACCCAACTCAACCCTTTCTCAAAGTTTTGTGGCTTCCAGCTCTTTTCAGATCAGGAGAAAAAAACCTGAAAGGACAAAGGTACACATGGTTTGTGTGTTTTATAAGTTCTAGCTGCCAGGTTGCACACAGCCTTAGTGGCAGGATGCAGGGTGTTTGGAGACCCATCCTAGAGATTCTAGCACCTCTTCTATAAGAGCTCCCTAGGAAATCAGATAGCTAATGACAAAATCTTATTAGCCCTTACTTTATTTGACTAATTAATTTTTGTGCGTAGAAATGTTTGTATTGCAAATAACAAGCCTGAGCTTTAAGTATGAAACCAACGAAAGAAAACCTTTTATGTCATAAAATTTCATCTGTTAGGATGGAAAATTAAGAAAATACGAAATTTTGATTAGCTGTGTTCACTTTCTGTAACTGTAATAAACACCCAATACACTAAACTTATAAAGATAGAGGGTTTATTTTGGCTCACAGTTTTGGACACTATAGACTTGACTGGTTGGTGTGGTTACCTTGGGCCCGTGGTGAGGCAGCAGGTGATGGTGGGAGCTCACGGTGGAGCCAAGCTGCTCACCCTATGGCCAGGAAGTGTGAGAGAAGACAATGAGGAGAAAGGGTCCCACAGACTCCTTCTAGGGATGTGTCCCCATAATCCGAAGACCTCCCACTAGGCCACACCGCTTAAAGGTCCTATCTTCTCCCAGTAATGCCACCTTAGGGACCAAGCCTTTAATACGTGAACCTTTGGGGGTCACTTAAGGTCCAAACTGTAGCATTAAGATTTTTCTGGATAGTTAAGAATCTTCCATTTCATTTCTAAAGCTTTTTTTTTTTTCACTTTTGGTTAACATTTTTCTAAAATTCATATTCACGTCTCAATAGCATCATAGTAACTCTCCTGGACCTAATGGAATACTGTACAGGTTTTGGTGAGTCACAGTCATCATTGTGAGCATTTTTGTACTACAAACCTATGCTGCTCTTTGGGCCACATGATATTGCAATGTAGCCCCTAATATATACTTCTATGTTTTAATAAACTAGATTAAGGATATCAATAATTGTGACCAATTCAGGGGCAAAGGGCATGAGAAGAGAAGGTGTTAGGGATAGGTATTTTGGGTATCAATTCGAGGAATCTGAAAAGGAGTAAAGATCTCTGAATTGTGAATAGACACAGGATCCTTCCGTTTTATTCAATATTAGAGAAAAATGTTCAATATTACAATTTTATTTAAATACAGTTTTTATGTATACTCATATCACATACCCACGCAATCATTCACTTAACTTTTGAGATAAATCAAAATCTCCATCATTTTCTAAAGAATTTGGAATAGTATTTTTACCAACTTAGGCCCACTTTGGAAAATTATTAGTCACTGTGATGACAATCATATCTTCATTTTTAAATAATACCAGGAAAATGTAAGTATCAGTGCCACATTCCAGTAAGCCCCTTGCTGGCCTCTTTTGTAAGACTTCGAGTGAATGAACTCTTTAGTTTGCCAGACTTGGGAGAAACGCCCGTGATTGGGTCCCCAGTGTTTTAATAACTCAGGGCCCATTGTTCCCTGCAGATTTCAAATGTATGGAACCCCTGGGCATGGAGTCCGGAGAGATCCACTCCGACCAGATCAAAGCCTCTTCCCAGTACAGCACCAACTGGTCTGCCGAGCGCTCCCGCCTGAACTACCCAGAGAACGGGTGGACTCCAGGGGAAGACTCCTACCGAGAGTGGATACAGGTACGTGGCACAAGGCCTGGCATGGCTCGAGGTGAAAGAGACTTGGGTCTTCTGGGAAGGCTGATGTATAGGATGATGCTGTGACAACTGCCCCAGAGGAGAAGAGCACTGGGTGTCATCCTTAAAGGACAATCACTTACTGCACCAGGGGAAGGCTGGACTCAGACGGCCCCTCCCGAACATCCATGCACCCTCCAGCCCTTAAACGCCGCTCTTCAAGGACTCGCAGGACAGGTGTGAGCAACTGAAAGATCCTATTTTTCCCAACAACTACATATTTTTATGTATATGCTTCCTGCTTTGACATACTCTGCTTTTCTTGGTGAAATACATGGATTCTATGAGGACGTGCATGAAATCATCGATTCCAAGTACAGGCTTTTCAGTGTGTTCAGGTTAGGGGAAGGGAAGGCGGGGAAGGGGTGCATTTTCCATGCAGGTCTATGTCGCGCACCCCAGGAAGGGGTGTAGTTGACAGAGGGTTCGGCCTTCATCACCTGTGTACTTCCTCGCGTCTGTGTGTGGAATGTACCTATGTGTGTCCTCATTCAGGATGTTGCTTCTGTTTTCCTCCCTTGGCTCTGACACCCTGTCCTGGCATACCTGTATCCCGTATTACCTCTCCTGTTCCTCCATGGCCTCTACACTGTCTCCCACAACTTCCTAGCAGTCTGACGTACCCTCTTGCCCCAGCACCATTCCCAAAGCCCATCCCTGCCCACCTTCTTTCATGTCTGGACGCTCATGCCCAAGGCTTGATGCACACACTCCTGAGTTTCTCGTCTGTTGTCAAATGAAGAGTCTGTGTCTGAATCTGATGGTGACACGGCAGGTATCCACTGGAGGACCCAGGTCTCCTTTGCAGGAGAATGGGCACAATCTGTCCTACATCTCTTGGCAGACATATGAAAATGACTAATTCCTGGGGAGAGTTTCTAAGCAAGAAAAGAAACCAAGATGATTTATCCTCTCCTTCCCACATCTATTGCTGCCTCAGTGGTTTGAGCACAAATACCAGATTTTGTTTTACTTTGGAAAGATCAATATTAGTTTAACATACACTTAAAGTGAAATAGCCTATTACAGGAGACTGAACTCACGCTCACCTCTAAATGATAACAGTGAGAAATGTGGAGAGGGCGAGAAAAGATGAGACTTCTACCCCGGGATTACTGGATCTAGCTCTAGATTAAGCCAGCAGTGAAATGAATTTGCCTTTGTCAAAATAGCTCTTGGTAACTTGTTTTTCCACATCCCTGGACCAGGAAGCAGTCCAGTATGATTGACAGATGTGCCTCGAGAGGAAAGCTTACGTCTCGCAGTGCTAAGCGTGTTTGCATGGTAATGCAGTCCCTCTACTTGGTGATGCAGAGAGTGCTCAATAACGCAGGGCCGGTGGTCTTGCAAGAGTTCTGAAATTGCAGCGATAGCAATTCTTCTACACGAGGCAATTCTGTGTCCACAGGAACATGGAGACTAAATGGGCTCCCGCAAAGCATTTGTCAACAGGAGAGGATTTTACATCGTTCTTCAGGGTTATATGCAATTTGAGATTACTGAAGGAAAAGCATCTCAAATCATCCACCCCTTTCTGTCAAGGGGATAGCGTGGTCAGGAGGAGTGAGGTAATCCAGTTGCTGCTCCATCACTGGGCCAACCCCAGGTCGGCTCCCCATGGGTCACACCAGGACCCGCACAGAGGAAGGGGCATTCTCAGAAAAGAGGCTGCACCAAGGCATAGGAGGAAGCGGGTGGATAACCACGCTTGGGGTGGAGGGCCACTCACCCAAACTTCAGTGCCTCAGCAGACCACCCAGCCACACTGGACGCCAGGACAGCTGTCCTAAGAGAACCCACTCTCCTTGGTGAGCCCCATGAGTGATGATTGTACCGTTCATGGACCGCAATCCACTTATGCAGTGCACGGTAGATAGCTCAGTCTGAACTACATACGTGGCACTTTTTTTATTGAACCCTCACCACAATCCTGTGAAGGAGGTGTGATGATCTCCACTTTAAAAATGCAGACACTGAGTTGCAGGGAAATTTCTAATTGCTTGATCAAGATTTTGAAACCAGACTTTGAAACAAGGTCTGCTGGAATCCGAGACCCGCTTCATTGCCTTCCGGTGCACAGTGTCATTGTCACACTTACAAGTTCCGATCTAGCTTAGAAGCACCAGGCCCCTCCCTCCAGGACAGGTGTGAGCAACTAACGATCCAATCTTGCCCAATAACTACATATTTGTACACCTACACTTCCTACTTGGACATACTCCACTTTCCCTGGTGAGATGGAGCCCAGGAGGTTCACTCTGAGATGGGGTGGGGCTGAATGTCCCTAAATCTGGATGCAGGGATCTTGCTCCTCGATGCTCTGAAAGGTCGCTGTCACCAAAGCTTGGTTTCTGTTCACCTTGATGTAAGATTACCTTTTTCTTCCCCTCAGAGCTCGGGGGCTCATCGACATGCTTGCCCTGTCTGTACAGGGTGGGAACTGTTATCACCCACCTGTCACCTAATTAGGAGTCATTTCTCGTGTTTCCAGCTTTTCTGCAGCTCCTCGGAAGTGGTTGGCTGGTTGTTTTCACTGAATAGATGTTTTATAAATTAACCAACAAGTGCAGCCTAATCCAGTCGGAGGGCACGAGGCACAAACCTCTAATCACAGGAATGTCAGCACACACACACTTCTATTTTTATGCACCTAAGTATGCAGATGACATTTGTTTTCTTCTTTGGCTTTTTCCCATTCTGCCTGAAATCTACCCCACAAAACATGTTGCTGTAGCAACGACGAGGACAAATACCTACATGTGCTAAATTAATAAGGCAACTTTGGAAGTTGACTTTCTTTCAAGACAGGAACAGCCTTGGGTTCCCATTGTTTTTCCTAGGAAATTACTGAGTGACATAAAAAAACAATGCATCATTAGTCGTGGATTCAAACGTCCACATTGGCCCTTCCTGTGAGAACTGCTATCCGCCAGGAAACTTAAAAACAAGTCAAGAAGCCCTTTGGTTAGAAGAAACAAAAAGGGAAGTCCCAATCTGAAGGTTTGCACACAGCCACATCCTGCCCAGTAGGACCACTCAATATCCCCAAGCAGCCCAGACTCACAATCGTCAATGAACAGAGTTAGTCACACTGAAATTTGCTCATTTTTCGCAGCGTATTCTATTCTGTATTCTATGTTCTTGAGCTGCTTACCTTATTATAATTTAATCTGTTCTTCCTTTGTTTCTAGTTAAATAATCAGAGCAAAGTCTCAGTGTAACTGTGGTGCAATAAAAATTCTTACAAGCACATTGTTAGAGCTCATGCATTAAACTCATTGGAACTGAGTTTCTTTTCCTGTAAATTAAGATAATGCAGCCTTAACTCCATTCCATTTTTTTTAAGCAGGCTATGATGCTACCAATCTCAGTGAAATTCAGACCCCAATTTTCTTTTCTCCTCTTATAAAGTACATAAATACTGTATCTGTTCAGGAGACACGTCCTCATAGATCCTAAATGTAGCCACTCACACACAAAGAAGAATTTAATTCGTTAATTATCCCAATGTTTTATTAATGATAGTGTTCACCACACTGTAAACAGATTTATCCTCCCAGCTTTAATTAAAGCTCTTGGGAGCGCTTTCCTCAAAACAACTGTGACTTTTCCCTGATTAAAATGCAAGGAGACAGAAAAAAATAAGATAAGAGACACAATGCCTGGGTGGGATATGAACTCTGTTGATCTGGAGAATATAAGAGGCACCAGTGACTTGATTGCCATGCTGTCCGGTGGCTTCAGAAACTCCACTCTTCTCCAAATTTGAGGGCATTGTTTTTTTTTAATGAAAAAAAAACTGGTACTGGATTATTTATGCTCCCACTTATTCCAGAGGGCCAGAGAGCTGTTGACTTCTCAACCACATCCTGTTTGGTTTGGTAAATCAGCCCTATTATGGATTATTCACACAGAAGAAGGAAACCCGCCCGGAAAACAGCCTGTAGTTGTAAGAAAGCACCATCAACCCCTGAAGCAAACTGCCTTCTCTCTCCCTTGCATTTTCTGGTACACATGTTCATTCTGAGGACTAAGAAGAAGGAAAGTTCCAGATGCGAGGGACTAGAGCTAATCGCCTGAGGAAAGTTGCTGCCATGTTTTCCTTTGACCCAATGTGTATTTCTCAGATAATATTAAAATCGTCCACATTTTCTCCCTGAAGGAACTTTGAAAGCAGACACCAGTAACAGAAGCCCTGAGTGCACTAGAGAGGGAGGTGGAACCAGACACACCTGTCACACACCTAACACACACATCTTGTTCACCCTTCCGTAGAGATTCGATATGTGAGCCTGGTCAAATCCAAGTAGGCTTTAGGATGTCTAACATGGGGGTACGATAAGTAAACCAGAAGCTCCTGCCCTTGGAGACCATGGAGATGCAGAGGTTAAAACAGTTCACCAAAGCGCCAACTTAGAGACAAGACATAACTTGTGGGAGAGCTCACTCTTACACCACCAACATGGACTTCCTCCTTTGTACCTGCGGAGGAAGGCCATGGCCCTGAAGGAGAAGTCCAGACTGAAGCCCTCTGGTCAGTCCCTTTTTGAGGTTGAATCTGTCACAGAGCCAGGGTGGAGCTCTTTGCCATTCTCTTTGGGTTCTTCAGTGTCTGCCGTTGTGATGTGAGGTGTGCCGAAGAGACACTCTCCCACTCTGTTTGGAGAAAGATGGTGAAAGTTAGCAGAAGCTTGTGGCCTCATGGATCACAGAGGAGACTCTCGTTCAAATAGGCTCCAGACCCTCGACTCCAGGGTCTGTCCTTTGGTCAAGGAGCTCCCGTATGTTTCCCCAGCCCCCACATCCAGAGCTGTGGGTCGCTGCTACCAGCAACAGCCAAGGTGGTTCTGCAATGATAGAAGATTGGAACCGTCGTGAGCATTTGTTGAAATCAGAGAGCAAAATTTAAAGCATGGACCTGATTTCAAGGGTAAGAAGGGGCT